TGACTGGAGTGGAGGAAGTGAAGGAGTGGGTCATAGGATAAAGGATGGGCCAGGGCAGCTCAGGTAGGATCTTAACCATTATCGTAAAGAAATTTAAAGATGTAATTTTGCTCTGAAGAGATGATTTTTAGTTAAATAGAACTACCCTTTCTGTTCTGCATTTCCATGAAGGGCAAAATGTAAATTTTCTCAGTTACTTGATTCATGATAGAAACTTTGGGTTTGGAGACAGACAGTGATTGTGTCCACAGGGATTTAGACAAACATGGCTGGAGTTCCCATACAGCCTTACCAGTTTTGGTGTCTTAGGCATGATACTAATTAGCCTTGCTGAGCCTCAGTTTCTTCACCTGTCATATAAAGAAAATAATGCCTCAGCAGCTTGCTTTAGTCACATTGTGATTATGAGGTTACAGTGAGATGACAGTGTGAAAGGGTCATAAAACACACTACACAGATGAAAGAGATGAAAGAGATTCTCGATCTTTAAAATCAGATGTCCCTGCTAGCTACATAAATGGGTCTTATTGGGGGATAGGGGGAGAAGGCATCAAAGGGTAGGAAGAGGAAACATGCAGTGTAAAGCAACTGGGAAATAGTCAACATCTCTATAGATCACCAGAGATCTTGGACAGCGGACTCTTAGATTGCACCAAATCCAGTTGTGATTTGGTGCCTGTTTATTTCTGCCGACGTGAAAGAGTGATTTTGAAATACACAACAGACAAGTGAACATAAGGGCAAAGAAGCTCTAGAAGGGCATGTTTCTCACACATCAGGCAGTGCACTGATTAAGGTAGTTGTAGTAAATGCATCATCCAGGTGAAATTAGTGACCAGAAATCTGAAAAGAGATTCTGCAGCCAGCTTTGGTGGGGAGAAGCAGTGTGTGTGCCAGATGCTTAACGCTACACACATCCTAATAATTTGGTTAAGAGGGATGTGGTATTTAAAGCTGGCACCATCCCCAGGAAGTGGAGGGGGCGGGTTGTCTGAAGTCATTGCAGATCAAATTTGTAGGCATTCACTCTTGGTTTATCCACCTATGTTATTAAAGGTTTTTGTGTTGCATGCACACCTATTCTGGCTAAGTAAAAACAGGAAGACAAACCAACAAACAAAAGATTTATTGAAAATACACTGGGGTTGCTTTCAGAGTCTACATGCTTGGGAAGGACGGGATGCAGGGCAGCTCTGGGGAACACAGCAGAGAAGCTCACAGAACACTTATTCTATACTAGAGCACTGCTTTGTCATTCTACTCTATGATCTCAGTCTTGTCATGTCTTGTCCACATTAAATACTTCTGGGAGGAACTGTATTTCCAGCTTAGCCGGAGTCAGATTTCACTTGGGTAGGTGGCAAAAACCACAGTCACGGCTGCAGGGTACCCACTTCTGCATGTGGGAGTGGCAGGTACGGGCTGAAGGAAACTGTTCAATGACCCTCCCATTCTGACACTCAGGTATTCCACAGGAATAATAATTAATTTAAAAGTCAGTATTTGACTTACTAGCATCAGTAGGAGAGTAGGCTCAGATATTTTTGAAATACTTTCCAAAAAAGATGTATGAAACTTTTAACTATGAAACTTCATACATTTGTGGGAATTAAGAGCTTGTTTCTTTGGAGTCTGTTTTATATCCTCTTTCTGTCACTTATCAGTTCCGTAACTTCAAACTTGTTACTTTGTCTGAACCTCCAGTATCTTATTGTGAACCACTTTCTGGTTATTCTGGATATATATGTATATATATATATATATATATATATATAAATATATATAACTTTTTTGCATCATCCAAACTTTAAACATGCCCAGAAAAATTACTATCATTCTCATTCTTAGAAATCTTCTCTCTGAACTAAGGTATATAAGCCCAATGGGGGCACATGTATTCTGACTCTTTAGAAGCAAAAATACAAAGTCAGGGTGTTCAAAATGTGTTGTGTTTGGTTGAAGCCAGGGTCTAGATCCTGAGAACTTGAGGGAATGGCCTTGAGGCCTCTGAGCTGGAGAACTCAAGAAGAACTGGAAAAGCAGGACTTGGCTGCCCTTGGGTTGTCCAGGAGCCAGAAAGGTGTGTCCTTAGAAATACAAACCACAGAGGGAAACAATTACCAGGCAGAGAGGGCTTAAGAATTAAAAAAACAAAACAAAATTTTTATGCATTGTAAAAATACAGGGATTTATGACACAATCAATTCTAGTACATATTTGAGGAAATAAGAAACAACAGCAGCAGCAAATGAACAATTCAAGGGACACAAAGAAAGAATCAGAAACCAGGATGAAGGCAGAATGTATATAGGGCAATCACAAAGATAAACTGAGCCACTGGCTTCACTGTGAGTTTCTGGATAGATGGGACGAAAGGGACCAGATCAGGTCACACAAGTCTTATGATCAGAAGAGAAAACAGACTTAAGGGAGGTAGTTTTTATCTTGCTCTAAATTCTAAAGAAAAGTTTTCCATAAGACTTCACAGAGATGTTAAGTGACAAGCTCCCTGCGGTTTCGCTCATCTGTCTCATCAGCCTCCTGCTCTGAAGACTTGCTTCCAGGAACCTCCCAGAGAGGCTCCGAATTGGCAAGTCTGGTATGGAATTCTGTGTTTCCATCCCAGAGGCTGTCTCAATCCAGTGAATGCACGTAGAAAAGAAGAGTTCATAATGTGCTTTTCTATCTGTTACTTCATTTGATAATTTTAATGATCTAGTGAGGCCATTCCTAAGGCTGTTGGATGATTTAAAACATGAAGAGAGATGACTTGAACTCATTTGGCTTCAAGCAATACAGGACAATAGGAGTTGACATTTTAATTCTGTTGAAAATTCTAAGTCTGCTAGAAATCATACCAATGTGGTTTAGCAGAGGCTGGTTTGATGATGAGGTGGCTTTTTCCGGGCTACTACACATGCTGCTCATCCTCTGATGTGTGCAGGATCACTCAGAGTTCACCTTCTTGCAAAGCCTTTATGGTGCACAGTCCTTCCTCCATATGCTCCCCCTTGTCTCCCTTTTTCAAGCTGTTCCCAGAGCCCTTCCACACAACTTTGTCATTTCCCTCCACAGTTATGGATGCTCTGAGCTACATGATAACCCAGTCCATGTGTTTCTCGGTGGCAAGCTGGTGATGTTCATTTTACTAGCAATGGTCAAATCTGGCACATAGTAGGCATGGACCAAAAAGCATTAAAGAAATGTGTAAGAAAGGGATCCATGTTCTAGGGGAACTGTGGGATAGCTATCAATTTATCTGTCTTAATTTAGGAAATACCTCGGACTTTGGTCAAATATTCTAAACTGGGGAAACAGACATTGCTGTGAATCACTTAATTCTAAAGTGATGACTTGCTTTTGATTAGATGAGGCAATTGTCATATAAATGCAACTTTTAAAGCTACTTATTATATCCACAGTCACTGGGGCTTGCGGAGGTGCTCCTGATCAAACCAGCCCACATTTAATATCTCCCCCAGAGGTTTCCTTCTCTTTAGTTCATTTTTTTAAGCCCCAGATTGAGTCGTTCCTCCCTGCTCATTAGGGTATCTACAGTGGTTCAGTCAACTATTCCAAGTTTTAAGGTGTAGTTAAAATATTCTGGCACTAGAATCTGAAACAATTACTTTACCACACTTCTAAAATTCACAAGGAAGGGAACAGAACTCAGGGAAATGAGCTGGCCTGCCCACGGTGACATAACCAACAAGAGGCTGTGTTAGAAACTGAGCTTGCATCTTCCCCATGTCTTCTCTCTTTCTGCCCCTCTGTAATGCCTTGCTGACGGCTCTGCCTCTCATACACCCAACTCTAGGATGGTTTTCCAAGACTCTGGGGCATGGGTGCCAATGATTACAGGTGTGAAGCAGTGGCCCGACTGACGGCAGTGTTGGGACACCTGCCATGAGAGGCAAGCTGGTCCCTGGGAAAATGAGAATGAAACACACACACATAAGCGACTATGTTTAGAAGATTTACTGGCTTTAGGGAGAGAGTCAGAGTGCATAGACTGGTCATGTCTTGACTCCAGTGTTCAAGCCAAGCTTCCATCCTTAGAAGCATATAGGAAAGGGTGGGCTAAGTTCGGGGGTAACAATGTATTAATAGCAGCTTTCTTTGTATACTAATCACACCCAAGTTATTAATCAGAGTCAGAAAGTAAAAGAGCATCCCCAGAGCAGATCATGACCAGAAGCTGGGAACAGCCTTGCTTCCTGGAGGTACATGGAAGGTAACTTAACAATCAAAGAGGCAGGGTTTCACTTCTGTGAACTTGAGGCGTTGTCTAAAATCACTTAGCTCCTCTACTCTCGTGCTCTGCTGTCCAGTAGCACTGTGCCTCAAGACAGAGCTCAGGTTCTGAAATCAGGCTCCTGAGTTCCAATCCTGCCCTCCTTCCTCATTCACACAGCCACACTGACAAATCTCTCTGAGCCTTCATTTCCCTATTGATTAAATTGAGAAACAATCTCTATTTTTCACAGAGATGATAAAGTATTTCTGAGCACTCAAACCATCTTGCTTAGACAGAATCTCACTCTGTGGTCCAGAGAGATTGCTATTCCTTTCTCTGAATGAGAGCCAGCAAATTTCCCTCTTTGCATGAGCAACTAATTGCATAATTACACGGGGCTTTAGATGCTTAGTGCACTACACCCTCCCTTTTGCGGGCTGAACTGTGCAAAGCAAGTTTCTAGCTGCTCTGGGAAAGAAGCCAGGTCTCCCAACATCAAGTGCTTACTTATTTCACCCCACAATTGTGCGTTCTCCCTTAAGATTATTTTATTAAGTTAGTACCTTTAACAGGATAAAAATATACTCACTTTAACTTAATTTTTTAAAAAACTGCAGCAAGAACAAAGATATACACCTTTTCTGCTTGTAGGTAGGCATGGGTACCACAAATTACTAAATAAAACTAGGCAGATTCCTTTTCTCCTTTGTCCAATATACATTATTTCAGTTGTAAATTTTAAGTTAAAAATCACCTGAGAATGTCACTTTGATGAATAGTCTCCTTTTTTATCATCAAATTCCCGAAATCCTCTTTAAAAAAAGAGAAAATAAAGAATTATGTTAGAATGATCATTAAGTTGTCAGAATGTTTGAACTACATTTTTCCTCTTCAGATATTCCTGTATCAGAAGGACATAAGACCTAACGTTTCTTAATTGTTCGTAGTGGACAAACCAATTATGCACAATGATCTCTTTAAATCTGCCAACAGGCCTACTAGGTTGGTGTCTATTCATACCTAAACTCCATAGGAGAAACTTAGAGGGATGTGTTCACTGAGGGTTGATGTAGTCTTCCCAAAAACATGAAAAAACGAAAAGAAAAGAAACATCTGTGAATTTTAACAATCTGGGGAGAAGAATTGTCTGCAAAACCAGGCTCAAGCAGATGACAATATATTGATTTATGCAGATAGGAGATTATGAGAAGACCCCTGATTACTTTTATGCAAAAGTGGTTCTTAATCCCTTATTGGGTTGAAGACCCCTTTGAGAATCTAATAGAAGTCATAAACACTTTCTCCAGAAAGAAGAAAAAATTCACATCTACACAAAATATGAATAAAACTTTAAAGGCTCTGTGGAGCATGTTTGTACCCTTGCCCCCAGAAACATGCAAGATGGAATGTAGAAATCTGCATTTTTTGCTAAGTTCCCCCAGGGATTCTGAAACAGTTGGATAGTAGACCACACTATATCAAACACTGCTTAGGGGTCAATGAAGGAGAAAATCAGAGAGCAGCTGCTTAGAGCAGTGGAGAAGAACAGCATATACAAGTTCAAAAGAATCAGTTTGATCATGGAACACTGAAATTGGGGAGATTCATGTGCCAGAAGGAAGAATGGGAGAAAGTAGTAGTGTCAAATCAGAGACATGCAGGCTTGAATAGGATGTGTTCACAGTGGCTGGAAGCAGGCTGAGAATACTGGAAAGACTTTGGGATGTGTAGCCTGCCTGGGGAATCTCAGGCAAACACTCATGGAGAAAGGTTCTCTAGGTTGTCTCTAAGTGGTCATTGACTGTCTCTGCTAATCTCCCTGAGCTACTCAAATTAGAAAATAAAGATAGGACTCATCACATCCCCCTCACTAATGACATATTACCACCCCTCAATTTTACTACATAACCACAGTGTTGCTTTGGGGGGTCTCTGTGACTTTAAGATGAGCAAACAGAGGTTCTCAGTGAGGGAGGATCTTGCCCAAGACCACCCAGTAAAATAGCATCTGAGTCTGGAGCAGTGCATGACTTTCTGTCCCTTGGTCCAGTGCTCTTCTGCCTCCCATTTGGTCTTGAGATAGAAAGCGTTGTATGAAACCACTAGATGAGAATGTGCTCACCCCACAAGAGTGCAGGGTAGTTCATTCTGACGCAAAATATCTTAAAAACTAGGGCAACATTTCTCAGTGAAAAATCACTCATTTTGTGGCATGTTTCACAGGTTTTGATTCTAATTTATTTTAATGTCATGTGGTCATTATGTGATCATAACCAACAACAAACTAGACCAAAAGCAAAGCCTGTCTCAGTGCTTACGTGCCCCTGGTCATGGAACGAAGGATGAACTCTACAGCATTCTCAATGATCTCCGAACCCAGGAGGTTGAGAAATTTGGGGAAATCTGGCTCTGGTTTTTTGCCTGAGTCATCTGGTTTGTCATCTGGCTTGTTGTCTGGCTTGTCTTCTGGCTTATCATCTAAAAAAAGCAAAAATAAAAACAGAACAGAACTTGAGGTGATTCTCAGTACAAGGAAAGGAAGTCTTTCTTCCACATAGGAGACCACTCACTGTTATGTAGCCTCATATGGTTATATCCGCTGAACATTCAATGTCTACCTGGTCAAAGCCTTCACATGGGTTGTCTCACTTATTTCTAAAAACAGACAGACCTACAGACTTTGATACTTAGGCAGACTTGGCTCCATATCGTGAAGGAAAATGAAACTCAGGGAGGCAGAGGAACTTCCCGGAGTTAAGCAGCTGATTGGTCAGTGCTGAGAGTGACACACAAAGTCTTTTCTTTGTGAAATCTCCAGGCCAAGCTAATAATAACATTAAAGATGAAATATTGATGGGTAGCACTTGTTGACACATGCGTATGACAGACGGTCAATACGCATTGTCTCATTTCATCTTTACAACAAATCTACGCAGTAGCCAGTTATTACCCCAAGTTAAGGTGAAGAAATGGAACTTGAGAGAGGTTTAGAAGCTAGTTCAAAGTCACAGAGTTAGTAAGTGGCAGGAGTATAATACAAACCATGTGTGTCTGGTATTACAATCTGGATTCTAATGTACTCTGTAATGAACTGTATTGTCTGACAGAAAAGTTATACAGCTTTCACTTCTTTTATAAGATTCAAAATAGTGCAATAATAATGATGACAAAGAGAAATTCTGTCACTTTCTTTTTTTTTTTTTTTTTGAGTTGGAGTCTCACTCTGTCACCCAGACTGGAGTGCAGTGGCCGCTCCCAGCCACCGCAGCCTCGACCTGCTGGGCTCCGGCGATCCTTCCACCTCAGCCTTCCCAGAAGCCGGAATTACATGCATGCACTACCATGCCCAGCTGATTTTTTGACTTATTGTAGAGATGAGGTCTCGCTGCCCAGGCGGGTCTCGAACCCGCGGGCTCAGGCATTCCACTCACCTCAGCCTCCCAAAGGCGCGGGATTACAGGCTGAGCCACCGAGCCCGGCTGAAATTCTGTCACTTTCATATCACTTCGTAGTTTTGTAGATGATGATTTTGCAAATACTGTGCAGTTTTACCCCTGACCAGTCTTATGGGGTCTGCAATTTTCAGACCCCCATAAGTGGCTTGTAGGAGAGTAGCTGGGACAATGATTGCAGGCCTTTCACATTCAACTCAGGCTCAAATATCCTTTGGAATGAAGGCAGAGGGTCCAAAAAGAGGTTGATGACATGCACAGTCCCTTGGGGCATGCTGACTTTGCCTAGTGGTCTTTATTTTCAGAAGATGAAAAGGAGTGGAAGCATGATAACAGCTACATGTGGCCTCCCCTCTGGACTCTGGTGACAGGATAAGGTGGGACTTACATCTTTTAATTTTATTATGCTCTGATTAGCAGTGTTACCAGATTGAGTAAATGAAAATACAGGATGTCCAGTTAAACTGAAATTTCAGATAAATAACAAATACTTTTTTAGTACTAAAAGAATAATCCTGCCGGGCTCAGTGGCTCAGCCTGTAATCCCGCGCCTTTGGGAGGCTGAGGTGAGTGGATTGCCTGAACCCACGGGTTCGAGACCCGCCTGGGCAGCAAGACCTCATCTCTACAATAAATCAAAAAATCAGCCGGGCATGGTAGCACATCCCTGTAATTCCAGCTACTTGGAAGGATGGCTGGAGTCCAGCAGGTCGAGGCTGCGGTGGCCAGGAGCAGCCACTGCACTCCAGTCTGGGTGACAGAGTGAGACTCCAATTCAAAAAAAAAAAAGAATAATCTATGCAATACTGAGGACACACATATGCTAAATAATGAGTCATTGTGCATCTGAAATTCAAATTTAACTGGGTGTTGTGTATTTAACTGACAGTTCCATGACAAGTTTTGACTTTAAGAACTCCCAACTTCTAGAAATGTACTTGTGACATTGGATGAAAGAGATGTGACTACCTTTTGTGTGGAGGTTGTCAAATTATGTCAGAAGCCTTGCATCTATATTATATCCAAAATTATAAAAAATGTTAGTAAAAAAAAGATGGACTTGCAATTCTATAAACAATTTTTGTTTACTATGCCACAACCAAAGATTTGCTAGGAGCACCAGTCTGGGACTTATAGCCAAAATCAATATACTAATCATCAAGTATTCATTCATCCAGCTGTTGATTCTTTTATTCAAAGAGTATTTTTTGAGTCTACGCTTATGTGTATTGCTATGCTAAGAACTCAGGTAAAAAAGAACAGAGAGGCCAGGCTCATGATTCAGCCTGTAATCCCAGCACTTTGGGAGGCTGAGGTGAGTGGATTGCCTGAGCCTGCGGGTTCAAGACCTGCCTGGACAACTTGGTGAGACCTCATCTCTACAATAAATCAAAAATTAACTGAGCATGGTAGCACGCGCCTGTAGTTCCAGCTACTTGGAAGGCTGAGGCGGAAGGATTGCCGGAGCCCAGAAGTTCAAGGCTGCAGTGGTCGGGAGCAGCCACTGCACTCCAGACTGGGTGACAGAGTGAGACTCCAACTCAAAAAAAGGGGGACAGAAATAGCTATGACCATTACATAAAGTGCTGGGCAACCGAGAAGGAAAAGGAAACAGAACACATTTGTGGAGCATCCATTGCACGGGCGCTGGGCTGTGCCTTCACTGCCCTTCAACTTAGTGATGTTGTCACAGTTTTACATAAGAGAGCACAGGTGCCCAGGGAAATTAAATGACTCACCTGAAATCACTCATCTAGGAAGTGGCTAAGCTAAGGTTTGAACCTGAATTTTTTTAACTCAGCAGTTCACATTACGTAATTGTTCACATTACATAATACAATATCTAAGCAATTGTTCTCTAAAGGTATCTGCCAAGTGCAAAACAGTAATTTCTTGCATAAAAGGTGAGTTCTTTTTTCTTGTGTTCCTATTTATCTACTTGCATAACAATTTAATTTTGTTGACTTTTTATTTTAATATGACACTAAATGCTAACATTTCAATATGTAAGGAGTCTGGGATTAGAGTGTGTGAAGATCAGATTTTGACCTCAGTCTTTAGACTACATATACTGAGAGGTATTGGAACATAGTGGATCACACACTTTGGAGTCCTATACACCTGTCTGACTCTTGTCTTCAACAAAAAATTAGCTGTGTCACCTTGCACACAATGCTTAACCATCGTGTCTCTTAGTTTCCTCATCGTGTTGTTGTGAGGATTAAAAGATATTTTATGTATCATATTTGTATACACACACACACACACACACACACACACACACACACACACACACATATATATATACCTATGCCATATATATTCCACTTACCAAGGTACCAGGCCCAAGGTAAACTTACAATAAATACCCACTATATTATTATTACTATTACTATTATTAATAACAATAGCAACAAAATGATTTATAATTCACTTTCTCATCTTTAGGAGATTATAAAAATTCTGAAAAATGCTATCAAAATATTAAGAAATTTGATATCCTAAAAATAAATTATCAATACCAATAATTAACATTTTCTCTTTTAATGTAATATTGGATAGCCTTTATTTACAGTAACTATCTGGTTGAGTTTCTTAGTCAGCATGAATATGAAGTTCTAAACAAATACAGTATTATACAGTTTTTCTAGTTTATGAAGAGATTATAAAAACATATTCATTTTGGGCCAGGTTCAGCGACTCAGCCTATAATCCTAGCACTTTGGAAGACCAAGGCGAGTGGATTGCCTGAGCCCATGGGTTTTGAGACCAGCCCAGGGAACTTGGTGAGACCTTGTCTCTACAATAAATAAAAAAATTAGTCGGGCATGGTAGCAGATGCCTGTAGTTCCGGCTACTTGGAAGACTGAGGCAGAATGATCGCCAGAGCCCAGCAGGTCGACACTGGGGTGGCTGTGAGCGTGCTGCTGCACTCCAGCCTGGGCGACAGAGTGCAAACTCAAAAAAAAAGTATATATATATACTTTTTTTAAAAACCATGTTCATTTGACCTGGTAAACTTGGTAGTTATCCCATTTTGGAGATGAAGGCACTGACTTTGAAAACAGTGAACTGATTTAACCACAGTTTCAGAGTTCATGAGAGATCAAGGTAGGGGCATGTCCTCAACATGAGAGTTCACCTTTCACTTCACCATGGTGATTACTTCAGGAGTAAAGTGGGCATAATAATCCCTATGGCCATCTCTGGAGCAATTCTGTTGTAGTGTCTGCCTGGGTGTTCTGCCAAGTTACATCAAAGGACTCTGGTACTAAACGTTTGTTAATGTCTGTGTTTTCTGCCCTATCGTTCTGAATCATGGTAAGTCAAGACCTCACAGTCATATGCAGACAAAAAATAAATTAACAAATGGGAACGCTGCATGCCGCCCTCTGTCCTCTATGTGCTTGGAACAAGCAGGAAAGTGGATGCTTAGCTTGGTTCCCAAGGAATTGTAATATAGTAGTATCACTATATCATAAATGTGAGTGAAAAATTTATTCCAAATATCATTCACTGAGCAAAGAGGCTATTGCAGAAGCAGACTTTTTAACAAAAATCCTACTTTGTATCAGAAAGTGCACCTCTTGTCTCCCAGTCTAGTGCTCTTTCTGCAGTGCACAAAGGCCCCTTTTTCCTTTTTTGTTCTGGATCAGTGCCACCAGCTTCTTCCAATCACTGCTACCTCCTGACAATTCATGGGCTATGATCAGAAGCACTTACCCGCATGGCAGGTCAGGATTAAGACAAGCAGTCCTAGGACAATTGTCCACCGAAGTACTGAGACAGCCATTTTTGTAGTACTGGGTACTGCTGCAGACAAATTGTTCAGATGGACTTGGGACAGTGCTCCATTTATACGGCATATATAGGTGACATCGTGTGCTGTGGAATTTAGGTCGTTGCACAAGTTGTCTGCATGGCTTGTTCTTGCATCTCTGCTAAGGAGCCCTGCCCTATTTTTCAAACTAAACGTTTTGCATACAGAGAAAGAAAAACGCTCCTGATTTTTCTACTTCGCATCTATAAATGGCACTAGAGTGAATCTTTTAGGGGTGATTTCAATGCCAACACTGATGATGAGATGAATATCAGCAGGCATACTTGTCAGTGCCAGGGAACAAGCAATATGTCAGACCGGCAAGGAATGCCTACTTCCCTCCCTACACACTTGCTTGTCACTCATCTCCTGTGAGTATCCCCCAGACCCACATGATCATACTTTTCATACTTCCTCCCATCTCTGCTCTTGCTTTCTGTTTCTGGGGCCACCCTCCCCATCAACTCTCCTTAAATCACTCCTATTTATACCATAAGCTCAGTCCAAATGCCCCCTACTTAAAACCTTGACGATAACCCTCCCCATCACACCAGATGGAGTTTGGCTTCACCATCTGCCCTACAGAACCCTTGACCCCACTACTGAACTAAGTACATTAATAGCATTCCTCTTCAGCTTGAGGACTTGTTTACTGACTAATAAAACTTGTATATATTCATACTCTACAACATGATATTTTGAAATACGCATGCATTTTGTAATAGCTAAATCAAGCTAATTAATATACTCATTACCCCTACTTGTCATTTATTTTTGACGAGAACACTTAAAAACCACTTTCTTAGCAATTTTCAAGTATACGATACATTGTTATTAACTACAGTCACCATGTTGTATAGTAGAACTGTTGGACTTATTCCTTCTGTCCGACAGAAATTTTGTTTCTTTTGACTAACATCTTCCCAATCCCTTCTCCCATCTCACTCGGTCCACTGGTAAGCACAATTCTATTCTCTGCTTCTGAGTTTAACTTTTTTAGAGTCCACATATTTGTCTTTCTGTGCCTGGCTTACTTCATGTAATATAATATTCAGAATTTTGTTATAAATTACAGGATTTCCTTCTTTCTTAAGGATAGATAGTATTTTGTTGTGCATTTACTGATTCATTCAATCGTTCGTGAGCATCTAAGTTTATTCCAACCCTGTGGGTCTCTTAAAGGCAGAATGTCTTATTAAATCTGACTTCCCCTGCTACAGTGCTTGACATTGGTCTCAACTTTGATTTCACTTTCTCTGGAGATTTGCTCTTCCAGGCAGCAGAGATAGGTGGTCCTCTGCTGTTCCTGAGAGATCCCTGTTTAAATGTTTTCACCAATAGGCTATAGACTTCATGAGGACAAAACTATCTTTTTTTAGAGTTGAATTCAAATTACTTGAGTCACATAGCTAACATTTTAAAAAGGAAAAAAGAGAAGAATAGTTTGAGAGTCCATGGAATGTGACCATTCCTCTGCCTGTCAGACTCCATTGTGGTGATCCCTATACCTATCACCATGGGACCCTTGAAAAAAGTCTGTTTAGCATCTTTTAAAAAAAGAAAAGAAAAAACAGTTAACTGAATTAAATTTATTTGTACTTGGTGAAACAAAATATTGAGCTTGAAATATTGCTGTGTATCTGAGGTGTGAACTAACCTTTTGGACACACTCAAGGGAATAACATTTGACTCGAATCTAGATTGTACTGGTTATCCTGAGGACTGCTATACATTTATTTAATTGGGATGAGGATTGGGGGAAACCTAAACAGAGATTGACCAAAGCATATGCTTTGTGTGCATCAGAGGATCATCTTGTGGGCTTTCCCAGTGTCTCAGAGCCAAGGCTCAGGCCATGCTTCTCGACCTTGTTAGTATTCTTCACAAGGCATGTAACTACTCCTTGAAAGCAATCAGGGGGCTCTGCTCATTCCTTGTGTGGAATGACCTTCCTAGTCCTCTCCAGTCTGTCTTCTCAAGAAGATGGGCCCTGTCTCTCCTCTTCAGAGAGCTGTGGTCTAGAGATAGTTGCCCTCATTAAAAAGCTTTCAGTGCTTGTGACTGAGCACTGTGCTTGCCCAAGCACCAGTGGGAAATGACATTCAAGAGCTCTCTATTCATCAGGCCATGAATCTTGACATGTGACTGTGTGTGCCTGGGAAATGGAGCATATTTTTCTAACTCAACACAGGGACGCTGGCTGTAGGGCAAGCAAAGGCTCTAGATATTGTAATTTAACATAGAAGTTTGCCAGCTTCTCAGGGATGGCAGATGGATGGGCATGCAGGCAAGTCTTGGGTCAGCTGCTCTCAGTGGTCTGGTGTCAAAAAATTAGTGTGGCACCAAAGGTCAGGACAGTTGGTTCTATTCCTGTCAATAACACTAGCTCATTGTGTGACCGCGATGAAGTCTCCTCCAGGTCCTGATCCTCCATTTTCTCCTCTTGCTGTGTTCTTATTCCTTTTCTTTTCCTGGTTTGTTTCTCTTCAGGTCTCAGCTAAAATGTCTCTTTTTTGAAGAAAACTTCTGTGACCCTCTAATTTCCTCCATTATGGTGTTTTATACACTCTGCATTCCCTCTTCTTCGCATGTACTTACTTTTTGTTTGATGATTTAACGCCTCTCTTCCCAAGACATATCCAACAGGTGAGGATAATATCCAACAGGAGAGGATTCTGGTCTGTTTTGTTTACTGAGATAGCTCCGGTTTCTAGAATAGTGCCATATACATAGGAGATACCAAATGAACATGCATTGAATAAATAAATGAATGAGTGATTTTGAGAAGAGAATCCTAGCCTTCTCTAATAGTTCTGTCAGTCATTCTCCATGTGACTCTGGCAAATAACTACTGCCACTCTGAGTCTCATTTTTTACATTGTTAATTGGGACATAATATAATTTTCTGGCTATTTATTTGCCCTACTTTAAGGACATAGGCGACAACAAAGTTAAAAAACCTGAAAAACAGTAAAGAATTTTAATGTGTGCCATGTCCACAGCAGTTAAGAAGCTGTGATGCATCCTCTACTGGCAAAAGCAAATGCAAAAATAGAGGAGAAATAGAGACTATGAAAGAGGGTTTTACCCAAACTGGGAAGGCAAAGATGAGAATTTTCTTCTATGACACCTTTCTATCTTGGTGAGAAGGCATAGGAATGAAGAAATAAGGAATGTTTTATTTCCTATGAACAACAGTTTTTTCTCAGGGTAGGAAAGAATTGTAATTTGCATTAGCACTTTCATGGGACCATCTCACTGTGTATATTAGTTGTTAAAAGCCTGGGCTTTGGGATCAGACAGACCTGAGTTTGAGTTTCAGATCTGCCATTTACATGCTGAGTAACCCTGTGACCTTAGAATATTTTCTAATTTCTCTATGCCTTGGATTCAATGTCTATCAAATAGGTATAATGACACCTCTTAAAGTTGTTATTAGGCTTGGGTAAGAAAATTCATGAAAGCAGCTAGCATGGTGCCTTGGACATACTAAAAACAAACAATAAATTTGTTCTTCTATTCTACTCTTCCATTCCATTCCACTCAACCCTGGGTTGTCCCAGAGTGACATCAGTGTAAGCAGCATTAGGATTAATAATAATAATATAATAGTAATAGGCTGCCTGCTCCAGTCAGGTACCACACTAGATACAGCATATCAACAAAGTTGTTGGAGACTACCATTATTATTCTCATTCCCTATAAGATAATTTAAGCTTGGAGAAGTTAAGTAATTTGCCCCGGGTTACAAATCACATATGAGTCAGAGCAGGGAATTGGACCCCAAAATATGTGAGTCCCAAGTTCCTGCTTTTAATGATTACATTCTGCTACACTGGTGTGTGCTCAGTGCTGCTGCTGGCAAAAACCCGGGCCAAACCGAGAGCACTGTGCTCCAACCTGTGTGTCATGGACTCATCTGTGATCACTTTGTTTTTCTCATGGGCTCACTTTGTTTGCTTGTGTTTCAGCTCACTTCGATATGGCAAACATGCATGTTACATGGCACTGTCTTAATCCTTGGCAGGAAGTGAACTGGAGCTAGGGCTGCAGAAGAAAATACATGATGTCCAAATAAATGTGAATTTCAGATAAGCAATGAGTAATGCTTTGTTATAAGTATGTACCAAACATTTCCCAATATTTTTAGCATTTCACTCATACTAAAAATGTGGTCTTTTTTTTTGCTGAAATTTAAATTTAGCAGGACATCATTGTACTTTTTGTTGCTAAATCTAGAAAACCTACCTGAAGAAGTTCTCAGGACCGTTTTCTTATGTAAAACCTCAGATCAGAGAGTAACCTGTAGGGCTGAGGGAGAAGAATAGTATGTGAAAAGTTGAAATTATATATGAAATTTGGACATTGATAAAGGACCCTTGTTTCTCCTTAATCTCACTCCTAGAATATGTTTTCCCTTGTGTGCTCCAAAGGAAATCATACATCCCACTCTTGTTTTCAGCTGATTGCAGCTGAAGTTTCAGACAACCTCAGAAGGGTTGCCTGTGGCTTCAGGCAGGCATGCCATCCATGGTGTATACCTGCTGAGGAGTGTCCATATTCTTGGTCACCTTAATTCCCTTTCCATTTGTAGCTTACAATTTAGTCAATCCACACGCAACAGATACACTTACTAATTACTTTTTCAGTGAACATTTACTGAGCTTGTGCTATTTACCAGGTACTCTGTTTGCCACCAGGGATGAGAAAATACAAAACACCAGTGTCTGACCTCATCTTTGTTGAGGAGGTAAACATGTACTCACATAATTGCAATTTAAATATGAGAGATGCTAATGGCATTGTGAACAGATTCCTAAAGAAAATAACAGGGAGTGGCTAGCATTGCCTGGGGGAGGGGTTCATGAACCTATCATTTGTTTGGGCCTTGAAAAGTGATTGTGTAGGTGTTTGCTATGCAAGTGAGGTGTGGAGAAGACACTTCAGGTAGGAGGAATGACATCGGCAAAGGC